GCCCCCCCATCGATCCGGAAGGGAGGACGAGCTGCCTCCGTCAGCTCCCCGCAGCCCTGCTCAGCCCTGGCGCCGCCGTGCATCCCCCCAAGGACTGCAGAAAGCCAAGCAGAGGATGTGGGGCTGGAGAGGACCACCAGCGTCCTGCCTGCCACTGCCCGTGTTCCCCTGCCCCTAAACACACTGCTAACAGGCAGGGCTGCAGGCAGGTGGGGGGTCCCGGGGAAACACAGGCAGGGTGAGCAGGACATACAGGGACTACTCCCGCAATGGCACCCTGCCCCCGACTCCTGACAGGGAGCTGCTCTGCCTCCTCCGGGGCACCCTGACCAGCACAGCCCGCAGAAACACGGGGTGCTGTGCCCAGGACAGGGTGCTGGAGCACCTCACAAGCCACAGAGCAACAGGCTGGATCCCCCAGCCAAGCCCTGGTCCTCCTGCCCCTGGCAGGGACCATAGCAGGACCTTTGCGCTGCCTTTGCCTGGCTGAGGACGCAGTTAACGCAAGCTGTGTTTATACAGGGCATGTACAGCTGTAATTATAGGCACGATGTTATGATAACAGGAAATCCGTGCCCCGTGGAGATGTAGGCAGAGAAAGGCACGCTCGGAACTATTTGCTAATTGCCACCAACAAGCAGCCTTTTGTGCCGTGGCGGGGTACGGGAAGAGCAGTCTCCCCCATGCCATGCTGGAGCCATCAGCACCCACTTCTGCCCACGTCAATGGCAGGGCCATACAGACCCAGACAGAGGCCACCTCGTGGCAGCTACAGGGCAAACCCACCCACCCTGAGAGGCAATGTGACACGCCAATCCACCAGTGGTCAGGACTTAACTTCCCAAGGTTATAACCCTTCCAAAAGACAGAGGTTTTGTAAATTTGGTTGGCAGAGAAGAGCAATGGGGAACTGCCCTTCAGAGGCTCTTTGCACGTCATCCCAATATACCAAGTCACACTGTGTCAGAGGCACAACCCTCCCTACCAGTACCCTCAAAGGGCCAGCAAGGTGAGCAGCCATCCCTCCCATCGGCATCACCGAGGGCTTTCCTACCTTTTTGATCTTCCCACTCCGTGTGCCCGCAAAGACGACAGTTTGTCCTCTGTAGTCATACGCAGCCACAGAGGTCATCCCATCCTCCTTATCCACGAAGAGCGGGGTCCCCTCGATGGTGACAGTCCCACCCAGAGGCTGGTTAAAATCCTGGCCGCAGAAATTGTCGTCAATCTGCAGCGGCTGTCGGAAGAAAACAGAGAAGAAATGAGCTTTTTGCCAATGCCCTGACATGCTGGATCTCCCAGATGGCCATCAGCCACCTCCTATCTCCAGCCCATCAGCTACGTCAGCTTCAGAGACCCCATCCCTTGCCATTCCTGCCCCAGCCATCCCACCTCATCAGCTGAGGGAAGGGACAAAAAAAATACACACTGATGTAAGGCACTTGGGACACATCCAAGGCATGCAGCCCCTCTCTGCATCTGAACAAGCTTTGCAGACCAAGACCAAGGTTCTCAGTCCTCTGCATCTTACAGAGCAGCACGTACAAACCCAGCAGAAGCCAGGGCAGCATCCCTGCTCCGCCTCCATCCCCATTGCTGCCATCTCAGACACACATGTGCCAGCACAAGCTCCCCCAGCGCACACACACCCCTCTCCTCACCCCGGCACGAGCTTCAAAAAGAAAACGGCTTGGCAGTAAGGCAGGAGGGGCTGAATCTTGCGCCTCAGCCTTCCCCCGGAGACAAAACACTTCCCAGCCAAGGCCGTGCCAAGACAAACGGGTCAGGGCTCCTGAAAGAGACTCACTTCACATAGCAGAGCCTCCAGCAAACAGGCTACCCACCTGCCAGCCCTGTTCCTCCTCCCGCAGGAACGTCTTCGGGAAATCCCCACATTCTTTCCATGCTGCCTTGCCCCAGACAAGGCGCCTGGCTCAGCCAGCTGCCTCCTCGGTTCAGCGCTCGCCCGCAGGTCCGGGAGAAGCTTTTGCAAGCTCTGCCTGGGGAGAGGCAGAGGCAGGGCTGCACC